CAAAATCTGCCTACAAGAAAATCTGTCACCAAAGTACACCAACATATTACAAAATCTATACATTTGCATGTTAGTCATCAATAACATCATAAAATTATAAAGGTTACACAAAAATTGTTAATTCTAACATCTAAAGGAAAGAGAATGTAAAAACTGTATCTCTCTACCTTTGATGACAGCTTAACATAATGTGACAACTTAGCCATACCAAGTATGACTAAGCTGTTGACAATAATCTCAACTACCACACTATTGACACATCTAGTAATCCTCCCTGGAACTGTTTATTAACACATGAAGATGAGTTACACAAGGCAATTTATAAATATGGACAAGTACTGAATGGCAAATCCAATCAAGCACTGGTAGATAATAACCTGCAAAATCAACAGTAATAAAAAAGTACAAACTCAAACTAGCATGACTCATGAACTTGCATCCTACCAAAACATGCACAAAGGGTTTATGCATAGTTGATTTGGATATGGTGAAAAATTACTTGTGTAGAATTGTCAATCTGATTTCAGACCAAAAACTTTGATTTCACTGAAATAACAGTTTCTCTATTAGTACAGAAAGGAAGATTCAGCAGTAGTTATGACAGTTCAATGCCATTGGTAGGCAGTACTTAGGAAAACAAAGATGTAGTATTTGAAGAAGGTATCTCTAGGGATACTTATCAAGTCTCCTGTGGTTACAAAGAAGTTGTTCCAGAAAAGATACCTAGAAGAGAAACATAAATGCACTTAGAGAACTATCAGGAAATGGCTAAGGTGAAGTTCTAAAATAGAAAAAAGACAGTTTGAAAAAAGGAGAAGTAATTGCGATTGGAAATTTCTCTGAAAACTATGCATTTCTTGTGCAAAACACAGCTCAAGGATTTTACTGGATGAATGACCAAACCACATTGCATCCTTTTGTTTGTTATTACTGTCATCCAGACACTCAAAAAATCAAAAGTTTAACTTTTGTTGTCATTTCAAATTGACTGACCCTAACCCAGATACTGTTGCTGTTCAGTTATTTGTGAAAAGGCTCCTTGCATATTTGCTCACAAAGGCTAAAGTAAAATATCTATTTTACTTCTTGGACGATGCCCACTTTGTAGTACAACAGTTGAAAAATGGCCCTGGGAAAGGATTGGTGGTATTGGCAAGCAGCTCACAGCAAAAGCAAGCCTTCAAAGGTCATTTATAAAATCCTAACCCAAAAGCCATTTTTAAATGAGTTAGGAAGTTCCCTCTGGCTTTCATTTTTAAAAGATCATAAAAGATGATGTTAACACCGATGATAAAATTTTCCAAGCTCTGCTTGATGCATCAGTATTGTTAACAAGAACACAACAATCCCATTCCTTTTGTAAAGTTGCTTGATCCTTCTCAAAACTGACTGTGAGAGATTATTCTGCCGAAGATGTGAAGGTGAGCAGCCTGAAAGAAGATCATAAAAACTATATTGCCAGCAAATACAATAGCAAATGATGGCTGGTTCTTGTTGAAGAACATCTACTAGAAAGTGACAAGGACAGAGTCAAGCTTTTGCATACTGCTGGACAAGTACAAGATTTTTCATTCCTACAACATCCAGACATCTTGTTTGTCGGATGAAACTAAATCCTCCTGTTGGTAACACCCACCAGGAAGAATGTACAAGTTGCCAGAGAAAAAACTGCAGAAGGCAACAATAGTGATCAAGAAGGTCATTAACTGTGTCAATATAAACTGTAATAACATTGCAAGTTTTGCCATTTATGTGAAATTACCTCATCACATCACAATGTTTAACAATCATAATCATTCACATTCCGTGTTGTTATAATGTTATCAAAAGCACAAGCTGAACAAGTGGTTTTTCTTTTTCAGTTGTTTTTAAATTTATCACTCATGAAACTGCAATGACACAATGTAATGTGTGAATACCTCTTGATCCTATCAAGATTCCAGGTTGATTTTGGTATAAATCTGAGCATAATGTGAACTTCATTATCCAGCTTGATTTTAGATATCCATGTTGGAGATGGAAATCCAAGTGAGGTCAAAAGTCAACAATTCAACATCAAAGGTCAAAATTTTGTTTAAGGTTAAATGATAGAAAAAATAAACTATTTGGATAGAGAACAAAGATATCTTTCCATAAAAAGCTTACTTTATAAAAAAATGCTTTATTGGTACTTTTATGTCAATGGTCTCATTTGGGAGCAATTATGGGTTAAATATTTGGTGACCTCTCACATAAAAACCATTTAACCAATGATGTGACACTTGCATAAACCTTATATCTCTATAGCACCAGCATTCGTGCCAATTAACATCATACCTGGAAGAGGTCAGTTTAGAAATGTTCCTGAAGTGATTTTACTTGATATGGACTGAACCAATTTATATTAAAAATCCTTTATCAAGAATTATTTTATTAGAAGTTACAATTTTTTACAGTCACAGGTATAAGATTTCAATCACTGGTGCAATCATTCTCAAGTACACAAGTTTTAAACATTTACATACTTGAGAATGATTGCACAAGTGATGAAATGTTGTACCTGTTGTAAAAATATTATTCCTTACTGTAACAGCTGTAACTTGTAATAAAATAATACCTATAATCAGTAAGATTAAAGAAACTTTAACAAGAATGTTTTGCAAGTTATAATATTTTGCCATTTCCAAGTTACCAGTAATAATATGCTTATTAGGGAAATCATTATTTGTACTATATAAATCATCTTAATTATTACTGAAAACTTTTCAGACAACAAGGTTGAAAATAAAAAGCATCACATTTACAGACAAATAACACCACGGTTCAAACAACATACTGTGTCTGTATGTATACAGATAAAGATTCCACTGATCAAAAGTGTACTAATTTTCGTCACAAGAATAGATGAAAAAACACAAAGGTCATAGGTCATGTACCACATGAAGGTATCTGCCACCCTTCAACAAAAACAATACAGTTTAAATATATATTACCATGAATAAAAACATCCTACATATTTATAAACCTAACCCCTCCATAAAAAAAAAAAAACATTCAATAATTAATTTATATCTAGGCTTCTAAAGGTTCAAATTCTTAAAAGAATATTCAAATTCATATTTCTATGCAACATTCGTTTTTATTATGCTGCTTAAATAGACAGCCCCTAACAATTGAACACCTGAAACAAGTCCTCAAAAGTTCAGTTATTTATGAAATTTGCTAATTGATTAATCAATTACATTCATCTTATCAATTATTCTCCCACGAAGGGCTATAAAAGTAGCAATTTATAACATTAAATATCAGGTTTTGATTCCTTTGGTTGTCAGTGCACAGACAACTTCTTGTATTTAATATAAACATACCATCAATATTCAGATTACTTGGATAGTTAGAATAATCAAAAATAGTAATAATTGGGAACCCTAATTTCAATTTGTTGATTAATTTTGTGACAAAAGGCTAGAGCTAAGTGATTTGATCAATTAATTGATTATCTACTATTAAATCAAGTAACCAAAATTACTGTTTCTGATTATCACTGTTTTTGATTATTGCAACAAACAATTAATCAAAATTACAATTAAATAATCAACTAACTGAAATTAGTTTTTCCAATTAATACTGTTTTTGAATATCCAATTATAACAATTGTTACAAAAATAACCAATTAATCAAAATAAGTGTTTTTAATTATTTCAGTAATCCAATAACTGAAATTATGATTAAATCAACTGTCACAAAAATAATCAACTAATCAAAATTAGTTTAATATTATTACTATTTTTGATTATTCCAACTATCCAACTGTTTGTTTGTT